ATCCCCAGCAGGGGAATAGCTGGGTCAAATGGGACTTCCAGTCCTAGTTCTTTGAGGTATCTCCATACTGATTTTCAGAGTGGTTGCACCAGTCTACACTCCCAGCAGCAGTGGAGCAGTGTTCCTCTTTCCCCACAGCCCCGCCAGCATTTGTTTTTGGTTGATTTCATGATAGTAGCCATTCTTTCTGGAGTGAGGTGGAATCTCAGTGTTGTTTTCATAAAATGGTAATGCATTTTAAAGAAAAATAATACAAACGTAAAATTATCAAAGTATGTAATAATACAAAAAGCTGGTACTGGAATGTACCATTAAGATATTTAGTCAGTGATACTCGGGTCTGTTTCTTTGCCAGTACCGTGCTGTTTTTATCACAGTAGCTTTGTAGTTGGTGATTCTGATACCCCCTACCTTGTTTTTGTTGCCTAGAACTGCTTTTGCTATTCTAGGTCTCTTCTGGTTCCAAATGAATTTTTGGACAGTTTTCTCAAGTTCTGCGAAGTATGCTGGTGAAATTTCAATTGGGATTGCATTGAATCTATATAGCAGTTTTGGAAATATGGCCATTTTCACTATAGCTAAATGGATGCACATTGAGGCCATATTCTTAAGTGAAATAAGTAGGACACACATGTGTAAATATAGAATAGTTTCTCTGGTGTGAGAAAGTGAAAGTGTAAATAAGGATCAAAATGTTTAATAGATAATGTGAAATAGGAAGAAAAGGTCCAAAGGGGAAGGGGAAGGCTGGGGGCGGAAAAAAAGGGAAAAGAATAAATATGAGAAAATGAAAAAATGTAAATAAAGTCTTTGTAAATAAGGAAGAGTGGAGTGTTTGAAGGGATTGCAGGGGAATGGGGAAAAAAATAAGAAACAAGGTATATTATGTAAAGGTACAAATTCCCAATAATGAATGTCAGGACATTGTATACCTAAAATGTACCAATAAAGTTAATGAAAAAAAAACATTTAGTTAGTTGTTTTAGAAGATACCATGGTTATTCAAAGCACCACTGCAAAAATAGAAAACACAGAAATATAATAAGCTATCTAAATACAATGTAAAATTATCTAAGTTTTAGACTATACAACAACTACTTATGAAAGCTTTGTTCTAATATTAAGGCATTAAATAAGCAGGTATTTAAGTCTGAGTGATTCAATTTTCAAGTCTAGATTCCTCAGTATTCAGATCCTTTCATTAGTCAGCATGTCTACATATAAAACATTTAATTCCCTATTGTATCTTAAAAGCACCTGGCAGGATTTGCTAGAATCCATATTGATAAAGTGCAAACCAGGAAAAACATGGTAAAGCTGCTAACATTTAGAACAATGGGTTTTATTAGGTTTTTAATACACTATAGCATATATCTACATAGCTACATGTTGAAATAATGGAATTATATGCTATCTATAATTTCATTTTACCTGTAGCAGTTTGCTCCATACATGCAGGATGACCTCTTAACTTTGTTCTCTTGTGAACTTCGTGGAAGTGAATCAGTTTCCTTTGCATGCAAAGTGTCAGAACTGGAAGCTTCTGAATTGGACTTGGGATGAGATCTCTGAGACTCACTGAGGAATGACTTGCCTTGGATACTCGAACAACTCTCAGAACAGCTCAATGCCTCGTCTCCTTTAGTTAGTGTTCCTTTAGTCATGATTTTATGTTTAGAAACCTTAGCAAGTCCCACAATTGGAATTTCATTTCTCTGTGTTTTAATCTTCGTAGTATGCATATCTGGATTACTTAATGTGGTTGCAGAAAATGATTCTGGCATTTCCTACAAAAAATGAGAAATAAATGAAACATTTTAAAAAGAAATATATATTTAAGCATGAGTGTAAAAATACAAGATCCATGCAATATATAAATTTAAAAAACTTCAAGATTCACATTTTAAAGTTACTAAAATTACTATTTTGTCTCTAGTTTTAAAATTTTAGAACAATTTGAAGTTATTAGAAAATAAACCTTTACAATCATGTCAAACATTCAGTGAAAAATAACCAGAAAAAATATACATGAAACGTAAGTTAAAACATTTGATTTCACTTGAACACTATCTCTCTCAAAAACAGTTCTTAAATGTTAATGTTCAACAATGTGTCATGCTTTTACTATTCAATGTCCCTATAATTTCTTATACATTACTGAAATACTCTATCCTCTAAACATAATTGCAATTTTTTTCCTACAGCTGAATGACAAAACGGTTCCATGCTCATAAAAAATGTGCATAAAGGTATGCCATGACCAATTCAGAAAAAAAAACATGTTTTCTTTGAAATGGTCTAAGCAAGTTTTAGCTTAACAAGTTTAAAGGTACTTTGAACCAAATAAATACTGTCATTAGCACTGAAGAACCTTTTTAATTTCTACTTATCACTAGCATAAACAGTAAGACTAGTCTTGTTAGAAATGAGTTCTTACATTTAGAGAGGAACTACTGCCACTACTGTTTAAACTCTTCAACAAAACTGAAAGGAAAGCAATACTCCCGAAATCATTCCTGGAAGTGAGCATCACCTTGATCCCCAAAGCAGAGAAAGACCCAACCAAAAAAGAGAACTATACACCAATCTCACTAATGAACATAGATGCAAAAATCCTTAATAAGACATTGGCAAATAGAATGCAGAAGATCATCAAGAAGACCATACACCCTGACCAAGTGGAATATATCCCAGGGATGCAGGGATGGTTCGACATA